CAGTCAGGAGTACAAAGGAGGTAAAGAAAGCAATTCAGACGAGATGATCCCAGATAGCAGGGTCAGTGGATCAAATGGAAGGGTGAAGAAGAACTTTTTAATGAAGGCTTTCAGAATAATGTTAGTTGCTTAAGTCTTGAATTACTCATTGGGATGGTTCTTGTTAACTACATTTTCATGTTGTATAGACACATATTTATTAAAATTTTAAGTACTATATTGCTGTTTGAAACCCATAATTAATTGATTAATTTCTTTATTTCTTTAACGCAAGAACATTATTAGGAAAGGACAGGCCAGTAGTTACACAGCATTGGGTTGGGACTTGGGAGATTCTACTTCCCTTTCCAGCTCAGTCAAAGGTTCACTCTGCAGAAACTTAGCTTCCTGGCTGCTTACACCTACCCACTAAGGCTGATCATCCTTCCTTTCTTAGCTTACACAGTCAGAGTAGGATTCAGGTGCCTTACCATAGGCAAATAATATGATTTTAAAAGTAAAATACTGGATGGGCAGTAGATGACAGGGTTCAGGTGAAGTAACCCCTGCTGCCATATGCTTGGGTCGAATCAAAATGTGAAAAAAAAAAAAATTCAGTTAGCACAATGGTCTTATCCTTCTCTTTTTTCCTCTACAAGGTTCTTGTGTTGTAGTTACTGGCAATGGATATTTGCATCTTCTAGTCATGAAAGAAAAATTTCTGGTAAAAGGATTGGATTGTACAGTGTTGTATGGTGCATACAGATTATTAATACTTGCAATTTTTGTGTGCTTAATCACCTTTCCCCATGTTGTAGTGTACCTAAGTAACTACCACTCCTTGAATACAGTTGCTGAGCATATCAGAAAAGAAGACACTTTCTGTAAAGTGCAGAGGACTGTTTATGGAAGCTTGCAATTAAGGAACATTTCCATTTTCACTTTGAAGCTGTATAAAGCTGCATCCTGCAGCCCACAGATTTTCAAACTGTGTATCACTGTTACCAAGGGAGGTGCCGAGGAATCAAACTGATAAAAATTATCCTGTCTTCGTTAACCTCAATAAGAACTAAAACAATGCTCAAGGCCATGGAAAGTAACTTTTTATTTTCATGCTGTCTAAACTCAATGACAAAGTTTGATGTGTCACTTTTATTTTACAGATGAGCAAACTGAAGCCTATCACTGTTAATGTTGTTCCCAAGGTCAAAACAGAGCTGCTCAACAGAGATAGCCATCTATCCTTAGTTTTCTGTCCAGTGTTTCTCTCATCAGGTGGTCCATCCCAACCTGAAATCATTCCAGTATCCTGAAAAGTATTTCAGCAATGGAAAATATTATTGGAAATCTCTAAAGTCAATAAGAGCATTTTTTCATCTGTTTGGAGGTTGGAAGGAAAATAAAACAGAATGCATACTATTCTTTCACAGTACCCCTACTGGAAATCATCCAGATATTAAAATCGCAGTAAGGTCTTTCATGACTTATATTAGCATTGCAGAAACATTCAAGTCTGAAAAGAAAGTCCATGGTAGACATGTCCCTGTAGAAATAATGAAAAACAGGCCTTCTTTTGAAAGGTTCTGGGGCCTAAATAAAGGGTATCTATGTTAAAGCAACCTGTCTACTCTCCTACCCCTTTCACAGGAGGTCTCAAGTCTTCTATAGGTCTTGTGTCATACCTGTCAACCTGCACACACTGAAGCAGCAGTAGGAGATTCAGTTGTTATTGGTGCACCACACATGTAACACACCTGCTACATTTAGTGTACAATTTGCAACTGGCATTGAAACTTAAAAATGGTGATGAGTGTTCACTATCTGTCATTACCATTAGGATAGTAACTTTTTTAAAAATCCTCATCCCTACTCTCTACTTAGTCTATATGAGTGATGCTAATTCAGATGAAAAAAAAAGTTCTGTGGGCAGAATTTTCCTCTTGTGAATGTTTTTTCACTGTATATAGACTATATTTTGTCCTCGTTTCACAGTCCCTCTCTAAACCAATGAATTTTGTCTTTCTGACAGGACAGTGGAAGAGATTCTTCAAGAAGTGTTGAAAGCATAGCATGACCACTGTGTGCAGATTGCACCTTTGTTCTTCACTGTATATGTCATCTGGGAGCCCCCGGTGGTCTAGGGGAAAAGACACTGCACTGTCACTGCAGAGACCTGGGTTCGATTCCCGGTCGGGGCCCCTCCCCGGGCAGATGGAGCTCGTTAGCCCATAAGGCAATCCATCTACGTCCTGAGGACCTCGCTGCCACCGTCCAAGCGTGCTTGGCCCCGGCAGATGAACCTCAGGATTAAAGGGTGGGCTCAGTTCCGCGCACACTGTGTCT